ACTACACGTGTTGTCGTTCTTGGTGGTGATGGTGGGGTTCTTGGTGGCGGTGGTGGTGTTCTAGGCGGCGTCGGGAATGGAGTTCTCGGAGTTGTATAAGTATACGGTGGCAATGTCACCGTCGTTGGCCTTAACGTTACTATGCTTGTCCGTGATCCTCTGTCAACATAAACATAATTTACAATATGTGTTCACTAAGAAATTATTATTAATTTTTACGTAAGTATTGTTTGATTATAAATGCTTTTTTTAAAGGCAAATTTAATTTCAAGCTGATATAGTGTTAGAAGCATTAAAATTTTTAATTACTTACTCAGAGGGTAAAGTAAAAGGCTTAGATGGTGGCTCATAGATGTAACCCTGGAACTGTGGGCTGTTCTCTATCGCACGTTTGCTTCTCTCACGGTTTGCATCTGCATGACACGTGGAGAGCACGGCCACCAGCACGGCCGCCCACAGCAGCTTCCACTGCAACATAGCTTTCGTTAAATTTTCATAATTCCAAATAATATAACTTGATTCTGTTTGTATATATATATTAGATTAACGGTAATTATAATTACAAATATTTTTTTGCATTTAAGCTTCCTAGATAATTATTGCGTCAACGATCGCTGATTGAAAGAATAAATAAAAATCATTTTATTCACTTTTTCTCGCGATAATTAGTCGAGCGTTCACGTATGCAATCGTAATAGATTGGAGATCATCTCCGTGGGATAATCTCACGCTTCACCCACGGTGATCTTACATAACGCATCTCGGCCACGAGGCGCTATGTATTATGACGATGATGATCGTGAAAGGTTCGCGAGCGTACAATACGGTGTATCGTCTTTTCATTGATTAACGTTCGACGATGCAAACAGTGCCATTTACTGCAACTAGGCAAAATGCTTCCCGTTAATATAAAAATTTTTATACGGCAGTTTTAAGTGTTTATACTGTGCTCCTTTTATCATTTTATCTTCTTTTTGTTTAATTTTTATTATTTAATATTTGTAGTATATAACATATTTTATATTTAAGTTCTTTTATATTAAAATAAAGATGTCTTTCTATAATTCACTGTATTTGTTTTTGTAATCTGTATGGATAATCTCACACTTTCAAGCAGATACATCGCGGTTTCGTTAACGGATTCAAAGGCGTTCGTTTCATTTCATCAGATTCAACTGGCACTTCTGACTTGCGAATTAAATCGCCGTTGTAATGTTTGTGCGACGGCATGTGTGTTCGACGAATGATGATTCTGTCTTGAAGAAGCGCGTCTGGTAACCTTTAGCTTTATAATTTATATATATAGAAAGATGGCAGCGTGCGCGCGCGTGTCACGGGGAAAAGATAGCCTCTCTCGACAAAGATTTTTGTTGTAGAAGTGCTGGAATCGGTGAAAGAAGCGATACAAATCACCAACACTATATGTCCCAAAATTAACAATGTAGTAAGTTTCTTAAATTAGAATTTACACTTTTTCAAAAACATTAATTTTTAAAGTATTAAAATCTAATTAAAAAATAAACATTTTTAATATTTTAATTTTTTCATTAAAAGGAAGATGACTTTCATTAAAAGGAAGTGCAGAAAATGTAACTGATGAGCAAATATTTTTAAACTTTTTAGGTATATAATGATATAAGAACACAAGTATATAAAATAGCAATGATAAAAGTGTAAAGTATTTAATAATAACACTCACTCGAAAATAAAAATTGACCAAAAACCGAAGAAATAATTAATTTAAATTAGAGCTTATTGTAAATAGTTTGAAAACAGTGTGAGCAAAATTTTTACAATTCACAAGGAAGCTTATTATAGTACATTGTTATTTTGAAGATTGGTATTATAAGAAACAATGTACCTATCAAATAATTTCTGCACTTCCCTGATGATATATCTATGGCATTATCTAAGTCAATCGAATTACGATCCATTAACTCGTCACTATATCTGTTCCACCTTTGGCCTTTTCTATATTTGCTTTAGACAGGTTTCTCTCGTAACGTGTCATTGTAGGAACCTTATTGTGCTAACAACAGGGAGTTCTCTTTTGCTTGAGGCGACACAATAATCACAAGAACCTAACCAGTCATGTCGGATAAGTCAATGGCAACTTATGATCTCGAACAGATTTTCACTGCTTATGCAAAACTGTTCAAAGTTTTTAAAAAGTTTCAAGGTGCTATTGAAGTCTACTTATAAGATTGATTTTTTTTTAACTGAAAGAGAGAGAGATTCCTTTATTATATTTTATATTATACTTAAAACTATCTTGTGTGAAACTATTTGTAAAATTTGTTTTATATATATTTGCTAATTTTAATGTAATTTTGAATATATTTTGTTAATATTCTCATTCAATTCTTCGTTCAAAAATTCATGTGCTTTAAAATGATTAACTATGAACTCAAATCATGAAAAAGACTTCAAGTCATTTATCAAGATTATATATGTAAATAAAAATTATGTGTAGGAAGTATTCGGTAATAACGCTACTAGTTTTATTGAGAACGGCGTAAGTTCGCTCAAGTCTCTCGGCAGATTACGCAGATTGCAGTTATGTAAATGTAAAGGGACTCGTGAACAACATTCTTGCAAAGCGCCTTGCAACTGCGAGACGGCATATTATTTCGTGAAAAAGACAGGATTGTGATTTGCATGATGTAGACCGTTTCCCCTGCCGAGTGCCAGAAATAGTCTTTGATGGAATTTATGACAGGATTTATATTTGCAAACCATTTACCAGTGACATGAGTAATCATTCTATCCTTGCAACTGTAGGATGCTCAAAAGATTTTAAGAAAGAGGAGAGGTTGCGCTTTCTCAAGAGTCTCGAGAGATCATTTAAATTTAAAATGCAACGCAATAGAACGTAAAAGAGTTAATTTCGAAACTTTATTGTACGAGTAAACGCACGCGTTACTTTATCGCGAACGATTATCTCGCTGGACGCGATAAGTAGGACAATTATTAGAGCATATTAACTGTGCGGACACCCGGCAGTGCGCTATCCTGTTTGTTCAGCGCTGTGCGAGGGCCCGTGCCGATTAAGTAAACAATCGATCACTCTCACAAAGTATCCTCCAGACGCTTCATTTACATTTGGAGAAAGCGAGAGTCCGCGAGATGCTGGTCGATAAGCGACATGGACCTCGATGGCCTTTTTCTCATTGGGTCGACGTATGGCTCGTGTAAGGTGCAAAATGTCTTGCGCAACGTAATCGAGCGTTGAAATTTCTAATCGCGCGATTGTCGTTAATGGACATACGGAAGACAGTCGATCAAATCGCGAGGTGGTCGCCAAAGGTATAGAAATTTTTTCATATAAACCTTTCCGAGATAATTGCACGAATAAGTAAAGGGGTCCTTCAGGAAATGTTGCAAGCGCAGTTTATAAAAAAGTAGATTTTATTATAATAATTAAAAACAGCAAGATGCAATTAAAAACTTTCTACATAATCTTAGAATCATAAAATTTCAATTGATATAAATATAACCACTTAATAAAAGACTTATATTAATTTCTATAAATGTCAAAAATGATATAAGGCTTGAAAAATCTTCACGAGAGACTTTAATCAAATCTTATCGAAGAAAGTTTATTTAATAATGATTTTCACGAACAAGTGGATCCTAGTATCAGTAGTGTTTTCGAGTGATTGTAACGGATTTATGCAAATCACGTAACCTTTCCTTAAATAAATGTCAAGGATTAAAAAGTTGCTAATAGCTAAAGCAGTAGCATTGGGGAATATTGTCGAATCAATATTCTGAATGGTGTTCACGTGAAGAATGTATATGGCAATAAAAAGTTCTGGTAATGTCTAATTGATAGTCACATTACGTGTTTTGTAACAGCGGATTACCGAATCACATTGCCTATTAACATAATCGCGTTGCTCATTGATTGAATATTAATTGTGAAAAAAAACATGCGGTAAAGAGACTTAACTAAGTTAATGGTTGTCATCTCGTGATTATGTGGCCTTTGGTAACCTGGTGGTTCATAAAGTTGTATTCGTGTTATTAGTATTCGTCTGTAGCATACATTACGAAATCAGGTAATGTAACAAACATGTATGATAAAAAATTCTGGAAAAATTAATACCCTATTTTATAGTCGTATATGCAGAAATCAGATAAAACGTAAGCAAGATATATATATATATATATATATATATATATATGTATAATATATAATATATATGTATAAAATTCATATATAAAAATATATTTCATGCGACAGACATTCGGGGAGAACTTTCTTTCGCAAGACGTGATTCTCCGCGTAACACGCATCCTTGACAGAAAAAAGCAGGTGCCATAATTTGCGAGCGACACCCAGACTGCGAATCGCGCCTTAGTCAGTGGACGTTAACCGTGGAGAAAGCAATTTGTCAGGTTCGGTTTAACGCGCGCGCGGCCGACCGCTCTTAGCAAAACAGGCTTAATCAGCGTGGGGTGCGTGTATGTTCAATGGGTGAAACGTACACAGCCGGGTCAACCTTATAAGGTGCAAATATAGTTTCTTGCATAATTCGTGCAGGAGAGTCATCAGCGAGTTGCGTCTTACTAGCACTCTAACAAAATACGATTAAAGCCTTCGGGACAGGTGCTTCCCAATTATCTCGCTCAACGATGATAAATGCTCGTATCGATTAGCGTAATCTTCTTCATAATTTTCTTCACCGATTGTGTCATATCTCAAAATGAAGTAAAAGTCATGACGCTGAATACTGTGTTGTGTTATGCATAGCAGCGAAATAACGAACAAAAGAAAAAATTATCTAAAAAAGTATTATACAATTTGTGAAGTATAAACTCTTTTATCTTCTTTATCTTTCGAAATTTCGAATTTAACAAACATATGAAGACTATATTATGATTCTCATTTATTTAGCTAATTTACTTCACAAATTTGTAAAAGATTTTATTAATTCCTTTCTCAAAAACTGAAACTGCGACACTCCTTTTTTAATTAAAATAATGTGTACTTCATTAATTCGCTAGCAACTTACAATTCTCTAAGTATTCTAAGTTGCTTATCATACAGTAATGTATAAGTAACGAATATAAGTAAAGATAATATTTTGCACCGGTCAATATCAATGCGTCATTATTAATTATTTGTTTATTAATAAAGTCAATATTAATTACTATGCATCACGGTACAATCATATATAAAAATTATAAAAACATCTGCAATTACCGACGTTTTATCGCACCTGCGACTCGTAATTATTTTCTGCACACGGTGTCACGTCTCTGTCATCGAAGAACAACGCGGCTCGGAAAGACTGACGAGCTATTGTCGAACGCCGACAAAAGTCCCGGTCGTGTAGTACCGTGTTTTCACTGCTTAACATGACAGAGCCGTTCTTTCGCATCGGTACGTGCAAACGGAAAACTCGTGCCTTTGCTTTTCAACCCCATGACATTTCCACGTGCGTTCAACCGATCGCGTGTTACATAGTAAG